GTTATCATTCCTATTCTATTCTTAGCCAGCCTTCTGATGAAATCCTTTCTTCTACTCTTTTAGTACAGTTTTAATATAATATATTTGATAAAATAATAAATCAGCCTTCTGAAACATGGAGTCAGATCCTCCTCTCTCCCCTCATCCTGGGACCCCTGTGAGCACCATCACATGGAACCTTCCTGCAGCTGATGGAGACCTGCAGGCAGCAGAGGGATGGGCAGTGTCCCAGGACAGAGCCAGGCTTTGCAGTGCCCAGCCCTGCAGGTGTCCCCTGCAGGTGGCACTGAGTGCTCTGGGCTGGGGACAAGGTGCCCATGGGGCACAGCTGGCACTGCATGGGCTGCCAGGGCTGGGCCAGCCCCAGGGATTTGGGGGTTCTGGTCTCGTGGATCTCCCCAGGGTCTGGTGCAGCCGGGCTGGGCTCTGGTCCTGCTGCATCCCCACAGATGTCACCCCTGTCACCCTGTGACCATCCCAGCACGGCCACCAGTCCCAGCTGGAGCTGGAACCCTCACAGGTGCTTTGGATGGGGCCACCTGCACTCTGGGGACATTCCCCATTTTTTCCCATGTGGATTTAAACATCCCAGGAGTCCTGGCCATTTTCTTCTCTGCTCCTCCCAGGCAGCTGCCTCTGCTGATGGTGCTCTACCTAAGAGTTCACCCATCTGTGGGAGCACAGGGGACACAGCTCCCAGGAAAAGGCAGGAGTGGGGCTGCCCCATGGCCCAGAGCCCTTCCTGCAGAGCAGGATTGCTGCCCCAGCCCTGAACACTCCCTGGGTCTCCAGGGAACCCTGCTCTGCAGAGACCTGAGATGTTTTTCTGCCTGACACATCAATCCCAGCAGGGAGTTCTGCATCTCCCCCGCTACTTCAGGCTAATTAGAGACAGAAGCCAGAGAAGGTGGCAGTTTTTAACCCACTCAGTGCTGATAACCTCGCAAACAGGGCTGAGTTTTGCTGTTCTGTACCTGGTTTGTTCCAGTGTTTGATTTGGAGGAGATCCAAGAGCCATCATAGAGTTATAGAAGGGCTTGTGTTGGGAGGAACCTGATGGATCATCAAGTTCCAACCCCCTGCCATGGGCAGGGACACCCTCCACTAGACCAGAACCCCAAATCCCTGGGGCTGGCCCAGCCCTGCCAGCCCATGCAGTGCCAGCTGTGCCCCATGGGCACCTTGTCCCCAGCCCAGAGCACTCAGTGCCACCTGCAGGGGACACCTGCAGGGCTGGGCACTGCAAAGCTCCCTGGGCAGCCCCTGCCAAGGCCTGAGCTCCCTTGCCATGGGCAAATTGCTGCTGTTGTCCAAGCTGAGCCTGCCCTGGCCCAGCCTGAGGCCGTTCCCTCTGCTCCTGTCCCTGTGCCCTGGGAGCAGAGCCTGATCCCCACCCTACCCTTCCCCAGCTCCATTGCCCTTCTCTGGGCGGTTCAAGGTTAATTGAAGGTTTAATTGCTGGGTTTGCAATTAAGACTGTTGCAGTATGTACTAATGATCCTTTCCAAACAGCAGCAATCTACCCCTGCCCGGCTGCTTCTCATCCCCAGCTCTAATCCAGGCGTGGAGAGGGAAGTCAGAGCACCAGACCCATGGCACAGATGGAGGATGATGATGCAAGGAGGCAGATTTAGGAACCTGAACCGTGCTTGTTCAGTTCACTTGGTGCTGGGTGTCATCCTGCACCCCCTGGGCAGAGGAGAGGAGAGGAGAGGAGAGGAGAGGAGAGGAGAGGAGAGGAGAGGAGAGGAGAGGAGAGGAGAGGAGAGGAGAGGAGAGGAGAGGAGAGGAGAGGAGAGGAGAGGAGAGGAGAGGAGAGGAGAGGAGAGGAGAGGAGAGGAGAGGAGAGGAGAGGAGAGGAGAGGAGAGGAGAGGAGAGGAGAGGAGAGGAGAGGAGAGAAGAGAAGAGAAGAGAAGAGAAGAGAAGAGAAGAGAAGAGAAGAGAGGAGAGAAGAGAAGAGAAGAGAAGAGAAGAGAAGAGAAGAGAAGAGAAGAGAAGAGAAGAGAAGAGAAGAGAATACTTGGAGGTCAGAGGAGATCTTCTAGGAGAAGCTAGGATACCAGGAGATCTCCAACTGCTACAGCCCTGTGTGTGTCCTTGTTGCCTCTATTGCCACCTCCAGGCTCCTGTGACTCCCAGTCCTCATCCCACCTCTCCCATCCTCCTTTCTCCTCCCTCCTTCCCACCAACCCTTCCCTTTCCAGTCAATGATCCCAACCCTTCCCAGCTGAGCTGGGCCAGCCCCAGCTCTGGCTCTGGCCCTGCTCACAGAGGAGATGTGGGCTGGGTGTCCCCATGGTGTGGCTGAGGTTCTCCTTCTGCTGCAGGAGAGGTGCCCTGGGCCCTCAGCACTGGACATTCCAGGAGCAAGGTGGCTGCTGTGTTCTTTGGCAGAGACAAGTGCCACGTTCCAGCATGTTCTGTTCCCCAGCAAAGCAACAGTCCAGGACTGAACTTTGGAAAACAAGATGTGAGTGAGTTTTATCTGCACCCAGGAGAAATCAATCCAGCATGCCTTCCTGCTCCGAGCCTCTATTAACTCTCTGAGAAATAAATGACTAGAAAATACAATACAGCATTCCGGGGTAGTTCATTCATTTTTCTTTATTAATTTTTTTCTCAGCACAAGAGGAAAAAAAGGAACATATGGGGAATGAGCAGGAGCCATTTCTCAGTGCCATGGCCACCTGAAAAGGGTTTAGACCCATAATGCCTCTGAAAAATTCATTCACATTTCCCAAATCACATTAGGCAGGTACAGATTGTTTTCATTTTTACGGATTTTTTTACCCTTCCAAGATCTATTAAACCAGAATATGCCAAAAATGACAGGAGACAGAATTGCCTTGAAGTCCCAGATGAGAACCGTTTGCAGCTCGCCTAAATGAAAGAATTTATTTTGAAATAAATTGGGGTTTGATTTAGCAGAAAAGGTTATGCCAAGACTGAAGCTGTACCAGCACAGACTACAAAAATGAGGCTTCTTTTACTCTCGGCATTCATTGGAACTGGGAAGAAACTGCACCAAACAGCACAAACACTGCAGCACTGGGGGCCTGGCAGAGCCTTTGGTGACATCTCCCATCTAGAGATGGACAAGGACTCTGAGCTCTGGGAGCTGGCCTCTGTCCTGGAGAGCCAGACCATGGGGAATGGCTGAGGGAGCTGGGCAGGGGCTGGAGAATCCCTGAGGGAGCTGGGCAGGGGCTGGGGCTGGAGCAAAGGAGGCTCAGGGGCCCTTGTGGCTCTGCACAAGTCCCTGCCAGGAGGGCACAGCCGGGGGGGTCGGGCTCTGCTCCCAGGGCACAGGGACAGGAGCAGAGGGAACGGCCTCAGGCTGGGCCAGGGCAGGCTCAGCTTGGCCAGCAGCAGCAATTTGCCCATGGCAAGGGAGCTCAGGCCTTGGCAGGGGCTGCCCAGGGAGCTTTGCAGTGCCCAGCCCTGCAGGTGTCCCCTGCAGGTGGCACTGAGTGCTCTGGGCTGGGGACAAGGTGCCCATGGGGCACAGCTGGCACTGCATGGGCTGGCAGGGCTGGGCCAGCACCAGGGATTTGGGGATTCTGGGATGCTAACGGAGACACTGGGGTTTGATGGAGTGCAGGTCAAACCAGGGCTGTGCAGCTCCCCAGAAAGGTCTGGGCAGGGCCTTGTGCCACCCCTGGGACAGCCAAGCCCACGGTGACCAAAGGGGAGCCCAGCCCTGCAGCCCCTCCCTGAGGGATCTCTGTGTCTGCCCCAGTGGGAACATCCCTGATTTCACCTCGAGTGTGAAACCACAGTTCATGGTAATGAGAGCACTGAGAGGGCTCCCATCAATCCATCCACTCCTCTCCAAGTGCCCAAGGATGGTGCCGCACTCTGCTCAGTGGTGCTAGTGACAGGATGTTTCAGGAGTTCCCAGTGTGGAACACCTTTGGCTTGGCAATGAGACTTCCTTCAGCTTGGAATCATCACTGACATTTACAGCTTGCTTATTTTTTTCCCTTGAGAAGTTTTCATTTTATTGAATGCAATTACTAATTTAAATTAGTTTTACAAGTTCTACCAGTAACTCTGAGTCTGAAGTTTTTCCACAGCATCTGCTATGAGGAGGTTGAGGGGTCTTGACAGAAGGTCAAGACTTTCTGTCAAGACCTGCCCCACCCAGCAGGTCAGAACAAGAGCACAGAGGTGGATGTTCTTTCTCTGAAATGCATTTCTGCATCTGTAATGTCACTTTGGACAGGTGTCCTGGAATTATTTTACTTAAAGAATGATGCTATATGCAAACTTTCTGGCAAAACTTCTGGAATGTGACTGTGCCCCATGTGAAAACAAGGAATTAACTAAATCATCCCAAACCATCCAGCATTTCCTCTGCTCTGCCACAGTTAGAGGTGAGAAGGGAACCCAGAGGAGCAATGTTGGGACATCTGTGTAAGTTTGCTGAGTCACTTTTCCCTTCTTGTGGATCCTGCCAGGTTGGGCTTGGATTTAGATCATTGCAGTCATTTCTCTGTGAGTTTGGTGAGAGTAGGATTGGGTTTAGATCATTGCAGCCATTTCTCTGAGTTTGGTGAGAGTGAGATTGGGTTTAGATCATTGAAGGCATTTCTGAGTTTGGTGAGATTGGGACTGGGTTTAGATCATTGCAGCCATTTCTCTGTGAGTTTGGTGAGATTGGGACTGAGTTTAGATCATTGCAGCCATTTCTCTGTGAGTTTGGTGAGACTGGGACTGGGTTTAGATCATTGCAGCCATTTCTCTGTGAGTTTGGTGAGACTGGGATTGGGTTTAGATCATTGCAGCCATTTCTCTCTGAGTTTGGTGAGAGTGGGATTGGATTTAGATCATTGCAGTCATTCCTCTGAGTTTGGTGAGGGCAAACACTCTTGGGAGGAGTTTACAAGCCTGCTGGCAGCACCTCAGAGCACACGCAGAGGACAGTCTGGCACCAAAGGCTCTGAGTGTAAAATGAGGTGAGCCAGGGTGAGGGCACGGGGCAGCGGCCGGGCTCGGGTCACTGGGGAGCTCTGTCAGTGACGCGGATCAAGCTCAGGATCGTCCTCTGGATCTGCTTGGTCCTCACCCCATAGATGATGGGGTTGAGCACAGCGGGCACCAGGATGTAGACGTTGCCCATGATGATGTGGACCAGCGGAGCCAGGTCCTTGCCGAACCTGTGCACCACGGAGAGCCCGATCAGGGGCACGTAGAAGGCCAGCACCACGCAGATGTGGGCGACGCAGGTGCTGAACACCTTGAGGCGCTCCCTCCAGGCCGCCAGGCGCAGCACGGCCCTGAGGATGAGCAGGTAGGAGAGGCAGATGAGCACGGCGTCCAGCCCCATGACCAGCAGGATGGCGGTGAGCCCGTACACCACGCTGGGGGTGGTGTTGGCGCAGGCCAGGTTCATCACGTCCTGGTGTAGGCAGAAGGAGTGGGACAGGCGGCGGGGCCCGCAGAAGGGCAGCGGCAGGAGCAGCAGGGGCAGCGGCAGGAAGAAGAGCACGCCGCGGGCCAGGGCCAGCAGGCCCACCTTGGCCGTGGCGCGGCCGCCGAGCACGGCGGCGTGGCGCAGCGGGTGGCAGATGGCCACGTAGCGGTCGGCCGCCATGGCCAGCAGCACGGTGGACTCGGCGGCCGAGAGCGCGTGGATCAGGAACATCTGCGTGAGGCAGGCGCCGAAGCCGATGCGGCGGCTGCCCAGCCAGTAGAGGCAGAGGGTGCGCGGCACGGTGGCCGAGGCCAGCGCCAGGTCGATGGCGGCCAGCATGCACAGGAAGAGGTACATGGGCGCGTGCAGGCCCGGCTCGGCGCGCACGGCCAGCAGCACGGCGCCGTTGGCCAGCACGGCCAGCACGTAGGCCGAGCACAGCGCCATGGCCAGCCAGGAGTGGGCTCCCTCCAGCCCCGGCAGCCCGGCCAGCAGGAAGGACGGGCTGAGCTCAGAGCTGTTGGAGAAGGGCATGGCCCCCAGGGACACTCATGCCAGGCCCGGGCGCTTCCTGCTGCGAGGGAAACACAAAGGGGATTTTTTACGAGCCCTTTCCCATGGCTCGGGATCCCACAGGGCCATTCCGGGGATTCTCAGAGCTGCCACACTGATGGAGCAGCTCCTCTCTGGGTTTTTTACCCCGTTATGGCTCTGTGCAACAACATATGCGGTGACAAAATGCTGACATTTGAATTCAGGAATTGCCTGAATTCTCTAAAAGGCAGACCACCGTAAAATCAACCTTTTGAATAACAAACCCATCAGCTGAACTTGTTTGCTTTTCTTTTTAAAGGACAAAATTAAAATTGTAACAAAGAAACCTGGCAGATTTTTAGTGCTTTCTGTAATACTTCAGTGCTGCCTGATTTTTTCCATATGTGCTGTGGTGGCCTGTCAGAAATGTGCTCAGTGAGGCTGGAGCTGGCAGTGCTGCCTCCCACGACCCAGCCCTCCCCAGAACAGCTCACAGGCACAGGAAGACATGGATCTTTCAAATGTTTTTCACATACAAATTGGATTTTCATCCAATGAAAAACATGTATGGAAAAACCAGAATATCTGTAGAAAAAAATAATCAGATTATTTACCTTATTCTGTGTTTGTAGATTTTCCAGGAGTGCTGTGCTCCAAGGATGATGGCCTGAAGATACAGAAAAAGCTTTGCTTTAGGTACCTTTCTATTTTCAGGCAGCAAGCCAGTACCTGTGCTGAAATAAACCCACCATCCCTCCTGCCCTGGATGGGCAGCACAAGGTCAAGCTCAACCTGGGCTTTCTGGTTATTCCTTTGTGCCCAATCTGCGCAAATCAACAATGCAAAGTGGCTTTATGGCAAGCTCGGCAGGTTATTAATGGAGTTATTTTATAAGTAATGTTGGGTTGGGAAACATGGGGTTTTTACTGCACATCTGTGCTGAAGGACTAAAATAGCATCAGGCTTTATTCTCCTGATGTGGGGCTTTTCCATCTCGGATGTACAACAAGGAGCACTCACATTGTAGCTTTTTATACCCGATTTACACACAGTGTGGGAGGACTGCTGCTGTCACTGTGCCCAAAATCTATTCCAGGGATGACGCTGTCAGCCAAGCACTTGGATTTAGACACAAATGGAACGAACAAGGAGCCTCAGTGATCACCAGCAGGTACTGAGGCACCTCAGCTGCCAGCCCTGACGGAATTACCTGAGTCCCACTGGAAAATCCCGCCCTCCTGATCATTTCCCTGAGGGAGCGGGGCTGTGAGACAGGCACTGAAACAACCCCTGGTGCTTCAGCTCATCTCTAATTCTCTGGCACTGATAGATACAGTCAGGTTTCCATCAGTGGCTCAGGATTTGGGATTGCTGAGCGGGTGCTGTGAGGGCCTGGATTTCTGCAGAGATGGAGACTGCATCCATGTCTTTGAAACACCACTAAATGCAGATTCATTTTCTTAGGGGGACCCAAGCAGCACCCCAGCAGTAACTCCCAGAATCACTGAGGCTGGAAATCCAGGATCATTGAGTCCAACCTTTGACCAATCCCCACCTCACTGAAGAACCATGGAATGGTTTGGGTTGGGAGGAACCTTAAAGTTGGTCCCATCCCACCCCTGCCATGGCAGGGACACCTCCCACTGTCCCCAGTGCCCAGCCTGGCCTTGGGCACTGCCAGGGATGCAGGGGCAGCCCCAGCTGCTCTGGGCACCCTGTGCCAGGGCCTGCCCACCCTGCCAGGGAACAATTCCTCATTGCCAAGATCCCATCCAGCCCTGCCCTCTGGCACTGGGAGCCATTCCCTGGGTGCTGTCCCTGCAGGCCTTGTCCCCAGTCCCTCTGCAGCTCTCCTGGAGCCCCTGCAGGCCCTGCCAGGGGCTCTGAGCTCTCCCTGGAGCTTCTCCTCTCCAGGCTGAACCAGCCCAGCTCTCCCATCTTTCTTCTCCTTCTTTCTCCTTCTCTGCCTTCTCCTTCTTCCCCTTCCTCTCCCCTCCAACCTTTATCTCTTCCTTTTTCATTGCCCCTCCACCCTGCTCTCCAGCTGTGCTGACAGATGTGCTGATAAATGCCCCACACTTTGCCCTCCAACTCCCCCACAAACATTTCCTTACTGTGGCAGAGGCTCCTCAGGGTTTTTGTTTCAGAGCTGTTTTGGAGAACAGCAGCAGCCAGGAAACACGGACATCCAGGGATGAACTCTGGAAGTTTTCAGAATGGGAGCAGACTCAGAATCTTCTTAGAAGTCTCAATTTCAGAATCTCCTGTGAGGATGCTGCAAGCCAGGCCTCTCCACAGCAAAGCTCTCTTCTCCTGGTTGTTGTTCTGTAAATTTTTTGTGCAAGCTCCAGTTTAGGTCAGAGGTATTTGAGCAGAGCTCTCCCCTTCCCAGTGCCAGTGGGAGCTGCTCCCCAGGCTGAGCTCCTGGGGGCTGTTGGTGTCTCACCCTGGGCAGGGAGCCTGGGACACAGCGAGATAATGAGCACAACACAGAGCAGGCAGTGGCCTGGGAATCCTCCCCTCAGGAATCCTCCCTGCCCTCTTTCTGCTTTTTTATGGAGCTGTTTCCGCATCATTTTTTTCTCTCCATTTTTTTCTCTCCAGCTACTGCACATGTGGAGCAGAACAGAAAGTTTGATCTGGGCTGGTGAAGTGCTCAGTGCCAGGCAAAACCAGGACAGTCCAGGGCTGGGATCCTGTCCTGGTGCCTTTGCAGCTTCATCCCTCCCAGGCAAACACTGCCTGCTGCTGCTTCTTCTCCACCGTGCTCCAGACTGGCCAAAAGGTGGTTTGAGACTAACAGAACTACAGCTCTGCCATTTGGAGAGTGAAATATTTACAGCTGGATGTGGCTCTCAGTGCTCTGGTCTGAGTGACAAGGTGGGGGATCAGTCACAGGTCTGGGAGGACTTTTCCAGCCCTGGTGGTTCTGTGATTCTGTTCTGTGATTTTGAGACACTTTGTTCTGTCTGTGGGAGCCAGGAGAACCATGAAGAGCCATGAAACCTCTGCCTGCCTGGTCAGACCCAGCCTCCAGCAGAGCAAGGAGGAGCTGGGCATGCTGTCATCTCCCACCTGAGGCTGTCCCTGGGGATCTGCTCCCATCCCTGAGGGGCACAGCCAGCACCAGCAGAGCTCAGAGGGAAGGCAGCAGCACCATGTAGGCCTGACTGTCAGTTTAGCCATTCCTACAATGTTTTTGAACTCCTCTCTTTTTTTTGCAAGAGAGCTTCCAGCCCCAGCAAACCCCCCAGCCCATCCAGAGGCACACCTGGCTCATCCAGTCCTGCTCACCTGCAGCACACCCTGAAGATTTCAGGCAACTCCAACCTCATCTTTCTGCATCTTATAGAAACAAAAAAAGGCTTCCTCAAATCTTATGACCTTTCACAAGGAGTAGATGGATTTTATTGCAGATGCTGCACATACATGACACTCAATGCAGAACAATGAATGGGACATTAATTAGACTTGGCACACTGGTAAGACTCAAAGGCTTCCAAAAGAGATGCACAAGCAGCTGTTTTCTCACTGGGGATGGGCACAGCACTCTGAACACATGGATGATGGCTGAGCACGTTTTTCAGAGGGGCTGAGAGTGCTCTGGGCCCCCCAACAAGGCCTAATGAGCAATGCTCTGTGCAGGAAGGGAGGAAAGCACCATGCCAGGGCATAACATGAAAGCTCACAGCTCTGGGCTGGGGGACAGCACCCCAGTGGATCTGCAGCTCTTTCCTCTGGCAGTGACTGCATGGATGGAGCACCAAGAGAGCAGTCCACCAGCTGTGGCTGGGAAACCAGGCCAAGAGCTCTGAACAAGGAACCAGTCCCAAAGCTCTGACAGAGAGCCCAGTGCCAGGGGTCTGACAGACAGACAGCCAGCCAGCCCAGTCCCAGAGCTCTGAGAGAGAGCCCAGAGCCAGGGGTCTGACAGAGCCCAGAGCCAGAGCTCTGACAGACAGACAGACAGACAGACAGACAGCCCATCCCAGAGGTCTGACACACAGCCCAGTCCCAGGGGTCTGACAGAGAGCCCAGTGCCAGGGGTCTGACAGACAGAGAGTCCATCCCAGAGCTCTGACACACAGCCCATCCCAGAGCTCTGACAGACACACAGCCCAGCCCAGAGCTCTGACAGACACACAGCCCAGCCCAAAGCTCTGACACACAACCCAGCCCAAAGCTCTGACACACAGCGCAGTCCATCAGCACCTTCTGGCAGAACCTCTGGAGGAGGAAGCTACCAGTGAGAGCCCCGCTTTCTGCACAGGGCCCTGAGCAGAGCCTCCCGGATGTGGGTGGATTTGATGCTGTAGATGACAGGGTTGAGGGCAGGGGGGATGATGAGGTAGGTGTAGGCCACCAAGGTGTTCACCAGGGGAGGAACGTTCTTCCCGAAGCGATGGATCATGGACAGCCCGATCATGGGGATGAAGAACACGAGGACAGCACAGATGTGGGACACACAGGTGTTCAGAGCCTTCAGGCACTCCTCCCTGGTGGTGAGGCTGACGACGGTTCTGAGGATGAGGATGTAGGACAGCACGATGAAGATGAAGTCCGTGCCCACCGTGGACAGGAGGATGATCATGCCGTAGAAGACGTTGACCTTTATGTCTGCGCAGGCCAGGTTCATGATGTCGGGGTGGAAGCAGAAGGAGTGGGACAGCTCGGTCCTGCCGCAGTAGGTCAGCCTCTTGAGCAGGAAGGGGATGGGCAGCAGCGAGAGCATGCCCCTGAGCACGATGGCCAGGCCTATCTTCAGCACGGTGCTCCTGGTGAGGATGGCCGGGTGCCGCAGCGGGTGCGAGATGGCCATGAAGCGGTCGAAGGCCATGGCCAGCAGCACGGAGGACTCGATGAAGGACAGGATGTGGATGAAGTACATCTGCGTGAGGCAGGCGTCGAAGCCGATGCGGCGCGCGCCGAACCAGAAGAGGCCCAGGGTGGTGGGCAGGGTGCACAGGGCCAGCCCCAGGTCCGTGAGGGCCAGCATGCACAGGAAATAGTACATGGGCTCGTGCAGGCTCGGGGTCCTCCTGACGATGAACAGGATCACGCAGTTCCCCAGCAGAGCAGAGAGGTACAGGGCACAGAAAGGGATGGAGATCCAGGGGTGAAGGGCCTCCAGGCCCGGGATGCCCATCATGAGGAAAGCTGAAGGCTGATAGAAGGAGCCATTGAATTCCCACGGGGTGCGTGAGTCATGCTCCATCCCAGCTCAGCTCTCACATGGCCTAGACCTAAAACAAACCAACACAAACCCCACACAGCTGGACTCTGTGCTGAGCAGAGGAGCTGCACATCCCTCAGCTGCCCACCAGCCTCTGCAGGGATCCCTGAGCTGGCTGGGAGCGGTGCCACACACAGCTCCTGCTCACCCATTAAACCCCAAACACACAGCTCCTGCTCATCCATTAAACCCCAAACAGACAGCTCCTGTTCATCCATTAAACCCCAAACACAGAGCTGCACTCCTGCACACCCATTAAACCCCAAACACACAGCTCCTGTTCATCCATTAAACCCCAAACACACAGCTCCTGCACACCCATTAAACCCCAAACACAGAGCTGCACTCCTGCTCACCCATTAAACCCTAAACACAGAGCTGCACTCCTGTTCACCCATTAAACCCCAAACACAGAGCTGCACTCCTGCTCATCCATTAAACCCCAAACACAGAGCTGCACTCCTGCTCACCCATTAAACCCTAAACACAGAGCTGCACTCCTGTTCACCCATTAAACCCCAAACACACAGCTCCTGTTCACCCATTAAACCCCAAACACAGAGCTGCACTCCTGTTCACCCATTAAACCCCAAACTGAAGGAAAAGGATGGATAGATTTTGTTGATAAGGAGGGGGAAAAAAAGAAATACTTGCAATGCTTCAGAATGAAAAGGAAAGCATTCCACTATTTCAGAGTCACCTCCAAATTCCAGGGTTTGAGATGCTCTGTGGAGTGAGCAAACGCCTTTTCCATGCTCATCCAACCACGGCCAAGCTGCTAAGCCAAGGCTGCTTTTTTATGCCAACTGAAGATCAAAGGGTGTGAAAATTGTGAAAGATTAACCCTGACACTTCTTATTTAGGAAATCAACACTGGAAACAAATGCAAAATTTGTTGGCACTGGCTGTGGCTGCCCAGAGAAGCTGCAGCTGCCCCATCCCTGCAAGTGTTCACTGCCAGATTGGAGCAGCTGGGCCAGTGGAAGGTCCCTGCCCGTGGCAGGGGTGGAACAGGATGGTCTTTAATGCCCCTCCCTGCCTGAACCAGCCTGGGATTCCACAATTTCCAGCAGAACAGAGAACCAGCCACTCAGAGCCTCCTGCTCTCAGCTCAGAAGATGGTTCCCAGGGCAAGGTGGATTTTCAGAGGTACTCACAGCCAAGCCCTGCTCTTTTCACAGCCTTCCTGCCTGGTGGAGGGGAATAAATGAGCAAACCCCACACGGACACAGGCTCTGTGTGGGGCCTGGTGTAGGAGCATTGGGGGGTAGGACAGCTGGGACGGATGGAGATGAGAGATCCCTGCAGCCAGGACTGGAACTTGGGGTTCATTGCAAAGGGCCTGGGGACAGGGCCCTGCTGGAGCTGCCAGGCACAGCTCAGAGCAGGACTGAGAGAAGAGAGGGGCAAAGAGGGTGAGAGGGTGAGAGAGTAAAAAGCGGTAAGAGGGCGAGGTTCCCATTCCAATACAATAAATCTTCTTCTGTGTTGAATATTCTGATTCTCACTAACCAATCTAGTACAATATACAAATCCTATAGCATTTCCATACAGCCTATAAGAATCACTACATTACCACACTGTGTTACATTTTAAACCCTACAAACTAGTACAATATACAAATCCTATAGCATTTCCATACAGCCTATAAGAATCACTACATTACCATACTGTGTTACATTTTAAACCCTACAAACTCCTCTTTGGGCCCCTCTGCCAAGCTGGCAGGGTCTGCTCTGACCCCTGGAGCTGTCTGCAGGCAGAGGGTGTTGTTCCATCAAAAGGGGATCACCTTCAGCCAGCCACACCATTGTTTTCCAGTTGTTCAGTAACTGAGGGATCTCACAGCTTGCTTTCATTTCAATCTCGCTGATAGTTTCCATATTCTCACAATCTTTTGCCAGGCAATCACATTTATAAGGCTTTCCTGTTTCATCTTCCCCAACCCCTGGGATGCCTGTTGGGAACAGGCAAGCACAAGGCAAAGCACAAGGCAAAGCCCAAGATGTTCCAGGCTCAGAGCCCTGGGAGGACCCTGGGAAAGTCTCTGGGGATGAACTGGAGGGGAGGAATGTGGGGGTGTTTTACACAGGGATCCAGAGCAGAGGGGATTGGCAGAGATCTGGCAGTGTCTGCTCCAGCTCAGCGGGATGTCAGTGACACAGGTGGGGTGGAGAATGCCCGGGAATGATCCAGGAAAGAGGCGAGTCCAGCCCTGAGAAGGGAAGGTTTGTTTGAAGGGATCCTCCTCCAAGGAGGCATCAAGGAGGCTGGACTGGGATCTTCAAGGATGGGAGGCAGCAGGTGGGAGCTGAAACGAGGGAGGTTTAGACTGGATGAAATGAGAAATGTTTCCCCATCAAGCACTGGAGCAGGCTGCCCAGAGGCTGCACATCTCCATGCACAGGAGTTTTCAGGACCCAGCTGGACAGAGCCATGAGATGTCCCAGCTATGAGGCAGATGTTGGGCCAGAGATCTCCAGAATGCTCTGCAACGTGAATGATCCAATGAACCTCTGAGCCTTGGCACATCCTGTGTTTCCTGTGACAGTGCTGCAGAGGCTGGCAGGGTCCCTGAGCCCCTCAGTGACACAGTGACCCACTGGGTGGGCGGGGCAGAGCAGCAAATGTGCAAGACCAGCTAATTAATGCAAAAACCGAGGTAATTAAACAAAAAAAATATTTGTGACTTCAGTGCTCCTGCACCTTCCACAGGATACAACAGTGTGCCTGGACTGTGAGCCAGAGGGTTTGCTGTAACACAGCTCATCTTTGATTACAGACAATTCTTCCATGACGTATTTATTAGGGTCCTAATATGATTTTCTTCATTAGATTCTCAGCTTGAGAGTCTAATGTGACAATAAATCCCGAAGCTTAGCAAGGACAGACATCTTCCTGCTCCAGGGAAAAGGCAGCACATAACTGATGGGACCTGGGGAAAACCCCAAATCTTTTGGCTTTCTGCAGGCAGGGCAGAGCCACGTGTTGGCATCAGAACCACCCTGCCCTGCAGCCCCACGTGCTGAAGGGACAATCTCAGCCCTTCCTCAGGGGAGCCTGGGCAGCACAGGGGGCTTGGGGCAGCTGCTGCATCCCCTGATGGCTCCACGGAGCCTGTGGAGGCACCACAGCAAACTGCCCACAGGTACCTCTGCTCCTCACTGCTGGCTCAGAGCTCCCCAAAGGCAAGAGCTGCCCCTTTCTGCCAATGCAGCAGCATCTGGAGGGTGGGCAGGCCCTGGCACAGGGTGCCCAGAGCAGCTGGGGCTGCCCCTGCATCCCTGGCAGTGCCCAAGGCCAGGCTGGGCACTGGGGACAGTGGGAGGTGTCCCTGCCATGGCAGGGGTGGCACTGGGTGGGATTTAGGGTCCCTTTCTATCCAGACCATTCCACAGTCCTGTGATCTGAGCACTGAATTAACTCAGCTGACTCCTGCAACTGGGGCCTGGGTTAAAAACCTAAAAAATCTGAGTGTGTGCAGGCCCGTGACCCCGAGCACAGCTTCTGGCAGGCATCCAGAACTCTCAAAGACACTGAGATTCAACAGTTCCTCAGGAATATGGAGGTGGAAAAAGAGACTCCTGGAGCACCAAGGAAAGAGGGGACTGCTGAGAGCTCCCTGGGCCTGTAGGAGATGCTTCACTTATAAGAAAACCTTCACTCAAACCTGACTTTGTCCAACTCCCACCACAGTGTAGCAGTCACCCAGAAACAGGATTTATTCACTCTGCTTCCCCCTGCACTGCTGGGGATTGTTTTGTGCCCCAACACATTACAGATTTCACTCCCAGATGGTTTTACCCCTCCATGTCCCATGTGTGTGTCTGGAAGGGATTTGTATAAATACACACACATACAAGGTGTGAAATACATAAACAACCAGGCAGGCTTGTTCCTGTTGATGTGCATTTCTGTGTGTGCAGGTAACACACAGCTCAGCCCACAGCAGGCACGTGTCTGTCACACAATCACAGAGCCACAGAACCAGAAAAGATCTCCTGGCTGGCAGTCATGGCATGGCCACTGACCTTCCCTGTGCAGCCAAGCCCTGGGGAGCAGCCAAGCTCCCATTCCTGGAGGCTGCTGAGCTCAGGGCTGGTGTCAGCCCTGGCAGGTGGCTGCTGAGCCATCCACCACGGACAGGGGGTCCCTGCCCAGGGCTGAGGGGCTCCTGCCCCCCTGAATGCGCCCGGGTGCCTGGGAGGAGAGGCCAGAGCCCCCATGGAGGGCGTGGTGCTCCTTCTCATGCCTTAAAGCCACCTCCTGATTTTTGCCTGTCTCTGATGCTCCCCAGCAACACGAAATGCTGGTGTTTTATGTCAGTGAGGGCAGGAGCAGGGCCCTGGGAGCTGGGGCTGGCTGGGGCTCAGAGCTCTGCTGCTCCCCACAGAGGAGACCTTGCTGTTCTCACAGCCCAGGCAGCCAAGTGAGGCTCAGCCAGGGGAGCAGGATCAGGGCTGGAGTTTTGGAAAACCAAAAACCAACAGACTGGGGGACCCAATCAGCAAAAACCAAAAACCATCAGCAGGGGGACCCTGGGGATGCAGCTCCCAGAGAGCCCCATTGCCTGGTGACACTGGAGGCAGGACAGGGACCATGGATGGGGCCATTCCCACAGCTGAGATGGCCCCAGGAGTGGGAGAGCAGCTGGATCTGACACCAGGACACAGCCCATGGACACCAGCACGGCTCCACAGGAGATGGCAACAGCCCCTCCCTCCACACACGCCACCCACGGCCACCACGGGGACCAGCGAGTGACACTGGGGACACGGGGACCACCAGAGTGGCACTGGGGACATGGGCACCACCCAAGTGACACTGGGGACATGGGAACCACCAGAGTGACACTGGGGCCATGGGCACCACCAGAGTGGCACTGGGGCCATGGGCACCACCAGAGTGGCACTGGGGACACGGGGACCACCAGAGTGACAGTGGGGACATGGGGACCACGCGAGTGACACTGGGGACACAGAGACCATGCAAGTGACACTGGGG